GATTGAATTTTTTGAAAATTTGTGTATTTTTTTTTTTAATCCATGATCAAATTTTTTTTTGTAATCCATGATAGAATTTTTTGAAAATTTGTTATTTTTTTTTTTAATTCATGATCGAATTTGTTTTTGTAATCCATGATAGAATTTTTTGAAAATTTGTGATTTTTTTTTTTAATCCATGATCGATTTTTTTGAAAATTTGTTATTTTTTTTTTAATCCATATTATTCAAAGAGAAAATGAGAGAATGATGATTCTGAGGCCACCCTATCCCAGCCATATTATTCACATATTGAGTCCCAACAGCAACAGTGTAGGGATGAGCATGACAGTGCAGGTGAGCATGAAGGATGGACAATCTTCGGGGATTTTAGATTGGGAACACAACAAAACACTAACACTCAGGGATTTGGGAATAGTCAGACGCCTATTAATATCGATGATTCGTTTTTAGATCGAATCAATGAATTGTTAAACGAATTCAATCAATGGCACCAGCGTGACCAAGAAGAACAATAACGTCGTCTATCATTTTATTTTTAAATCATATGTTACTAATTTTATGCTACATTGTAGTCCATGTATGTTGATATACTTATTCCATGATAATTCTATGTTTATCCTTTTGTGTGATGTAAATTAAATGCTGAATGGCGGTTCATGCAGGGAAAGAACATATCAATATTCGCATATTCATTCAAAAACATGAAAATTCTTAATGGAGTACCCTCATTTCTTATTGAATTCCTAAAAAACAATATTTATAATGAATTTTAATAATTTTTTCGGATTTTTTTTAAGCTTTATTTTGACCGATTCACCCGATTCCCGATCCGGATCGCCGATTCGCCGATCCGGATCGGTTTTTTGGAAGCCCGATCCGGGTCACCGATCCGTTTTTTAAACCATTGGTTGAGAGTATGTCTGATTATCTCACTTTTTTTTCTTCTTTACATTGGGTTGAGCAAATAATTTAGGTATCCGTACTTTTCACCCTCATGCGCCTATAAAAACTATAAAAAAAAATATATCAGAAAATAAGATGCTAAAATACCCCTTAAACTTTGAGGCCTATTATGGTCATTTTATTTTGTTTGAATTGTTTCTTACATTTTTTTTATAGATGCACCTGAATGAGGTGCACACACACTCCACATTTCTTCTTGATTTGATATTGAGAAAATAATAATGAATGAATATACGATGAACATTTTAATTGACCAAATCGTCCACATTGTAGTTCAACTAACAAGCTATCTTCTCAACCATAGGTTAAAATTTATCTTTTTCTGCATACATGATAATGAGGTGAAATTTTGGGCATCCATTCTTCTAGCGCCCACACACCTCCAAAAAAATATGAAATAAATAATTTGAAAAAACTAAAATGAGCATAATACCTTTAAAACCTTGAGGGGTATTTTGGTCAATTTTAATTTTCTCAAATAAATTTTTTTAATGGTTTATAAAGATGCACCCAAATGAGGCACACAAATCTTCCAACATTTATTTAGATTTTAGTTTCATAAAAAATTGAAATAGAAAATGTGTAGAAAACAAAATTGAAAATGATGCCACAGTGGGAGTGGGGTTGAGGTCGTGGTGGTAGCACCACTTGAGTCTCAGCTACCGGTCTAGGTTTCCATTCCCACTGACGCATTCGAAAATCGCTAATTATTTCTAAAAAGGGATAGGGCCTATATTCAAAATGATGCCACAGTCCATGAGCCATTTCCAAATTTCAGTATTCCATGGGGAGCTAGAAAAGGGTAAGGGGTAGATCCAAAAGGATATGGTTAGAAGTAGTGAGAAAAAATATAGGGACTTATGACCTCTCTGAGGGTATGACCCTTAATAGAGTAGAACGACGGACTGAGAATTGTGTAGCTGACTTCAAATAGTTGGGAAAAGGCTCTGATGATGATGAGTAGTCTTCCATGGGGGGCATGGAACTGGCAGTATCCACTTTTTGTTGAAATTGAGAGTTCCAGACAGGCCTCTCATTTTAGCACTTCCTGTTAGCAAACAAGGAACTGCTACAGAAACCTGAAACTTCTGGTTTCCACAGTTTGAAGTTCCAGAAATCAAATGCTCCATAAAAAGTTGCCTTGGAGTCCCGATAAACTCATCTCCAAAATTGAATGCTCACTGAAAACCTGAACGACTTGATTGAAACTTGGATTTTTTGTCCTGATATATGCTTGCAGGTAACTGTGATAGGTTCACAAGGGCATGCTGGGACTGTGCCAATGTCAATGCGCAGGGACCCCATGGCAGCTTCTGCGGAGCTTATTGTTATGTTGGAAGATCTATGTAAACACCCTGAAAATAAAATCAACCATGATCGAGAAAGCAAGGGATTCATAAAGGAAGCTTTTGCAGGATCTGTTGTCTGTACAGTTGGACAAATATCTTCCTGGCCAAGTGCTAGTAATGTCATTCCAGGACAGGTATTACCTCTCTTCCTAATGGTAGACCTGTAATTAACCTCAGAAAACCCTGTCACTGAGCTCATGGTTTGGACATTTCATTTTGTTCTCACTTGCCACTCGGTTGATAACTTGGTAGGTTTCTTTAGCATTTTGGTTTAATGGGTTGTGTTCGGTTCATGTTTTCTCGGGGCATTTTGAGGTCCCCTAGCGTCTTTTCAGTAGTTTACTATTTGGGTGGGTAAGATGGGATTTGAACCAACACGTAAGGACAAATGTCCTCTACCGCTTTGATTACAGGTAACATTCAGTGTGGATGTACGTGCAAGTGAAGACAGGGCACGTGAAGCCATCATTTTAGAACTGGAGAATGAAATGCATCAAATATGCAATCGGCGATCAGTGTCTTGCTTCCTTGAACTTAAGGTCTGTGGGATCCAAAACCTTATGTGCTTTAATTATAGTCATAAGAAAAATGGAAGAAAAACTCCAAATGCTTCTTGAACCGGGTTATCTTGCTGTTATGACTCTAAGCTCTGTGTAGTTTGACAATTGCTGTGGTGCTTGACCCATTTGCTGTGGGACCATTTGACCCATTTTGTTGATTGATGATCCAGCATAATGCTGAAGCAATTCGATGTGACAAGGAACTGAGCTTGCAACTAAAGAATGCAGCACAAATTGCTGTAAAGAGTATAAGCGGTGATATTGGAGACAACATCCCAATTTTGATGAGTGGAGCAGGACATGATGCTATGGCAATAGCTCATTTAACAAAGGTTTAGTTCTTACACTAAATTCTTTTGGGGAAAGGTCCAATGTAGAATGGAAAGTCATACATAACATTCACAACTGTCTGATAAAATGATGGATGATCATGGAGAAAGAGTGGGACCTAACATTGCGGTCATGCCCTGTTCTATGGGGCACCTCTCTCTCTCTCTCCTCTCTCTCTCTCTCTCTCTCTCGTCTCTCGTCTCGTCGTACGTCATCGTACGTACGTACGTACGTACTACGTACCGTACGTACTTACGTTACGTTACGTTACGT